TATATATATATATATATATGTGCATATTTGATATTTATTTTAACAAATGTAGTTGACAACTTGCCGTTTCACTGTTAATGTAAAAGGAATTATACATAATGATACAGCCGACTAAAGGAAGTGTGGTAGAAAGAACTTTAATGATGTTTTCTGTAGAATATGTTGTCAAAATTGCTGTAAGCTATAAATAATAATTTTTTAAAAAGCAATGAAAGAAGATATTTACAGATTAACCCATTTTAACATAAACCATTTTATCACTTTATACAACAATTATTATCAAGTCGTATAACTGGGTTTCGTGAGTTAATTTTTTAATTGAATTCAATATTAAAGTGCTAACGTTTCGTAAACAATTTATTTCAGGACAAGGTGCAGCTTAGTATTGTCAATATCAAGTTGATATTGATGAAATAAATTACAATATTAACAAAAAATTGGTATTCTATTAATGAATTTGAATAAGGAGATAATCCGCGAAACTCATGACTTCTGTATGGAAAATTCTCGTGCCTTATAAATATTAAATTGTATAATTATAATTTTCAAAGTTTCGTCTAATCTAATTATGTAACTATATGCAATAACAATCGACATAAATAATAACATTTTATTACTAGAACGTATGTATATGCATATGGTACATGTACTTGCATAGACTTTTTTTACGTATAAAGTGTAAGATCTTACTAATATTTGCGCTAATATTTTATATTTAATTGCTCATTTAACATATTCCAAATATATTTATATTTTCAGAGAAATATCAATTCTTAAATTAATCGGTAAATATAAATTTACAATTATAAATCAATTCTAAATCTAATATAATACTAGAATTAAAATCTTTATACCTGAAATGCAATGCAAGTTATAAGGAGGCTAAATATACATATTATTTGCAATCCAACAAATTTTGATTTTTCATAAGGCCACAAACCAAGTATCAACAAAAGAGTTCGATTAAGACTGAAATATCTATCCACAACACTGATCATGTTTCAGCTAACTCTAAAATGCTTTTAACGGAACTGATCAATGAAGTTGCGCTTATTCCCACCATACATTGAATGATTAAATGTTTTTAACATTTTTTTTTCTAATTCAAGAAATGTTCTACAATTTAAGACAATTTCAGTAATTCAACTAATTTTGTTGAATTGTTGAAATTTACATAAATTTTAGAAAATTTTTTGAATTTTCAATGATAAAAGTACCATGAAATGTGCAATAAAATACTGGTATAGTATTAAAACCCTCGCAATTTAGTATTACTTTTTTAAAATATTTCGCGTTTACGCAATCGATTCAGCTACGAAGAAATTTAACAGATGTTCTTTTCTCGTAAAATATGGCTGTAAAACTAGCGCAAGCGCTGTAGCTTCATTTTCAACGACGCATATTCGCTTGTTTCATTCTCAAACGCTTTTGTAAGTCATATTCGAGTTTACAGGGTCTACCATCAACTTGAAAATATTATAACAGTAAATTAATTATAAAATTATTAGTTCGTATTTTTAACCTTAATTTTAACAATAATGCGCTTATGCAGTTTACGTTACATATTTTTAACATCTAATTTACGTTATACATATATAATGTTGAATAATTTAATTCATGTATTTATCAATAAGTACAAGAGGTGTATACAGATCATTTTATGAACGTAATTTATATTCTTTTTTTCTCTTTTAGTATCAATTTCATTCTCTGTGAAAAAGAAGATATCTTCCAATGATGAGGATACACCTAATTGTAAGTAAAGGATGGAGAGCTTTTTCAAAATAGACACAATAAAATTGTACTCATTATTATAAGCGTTTCTTTTGAATTTATTTAAATAGTATTTTTTAAATTTAACTTCTTTCTTTTCATTTCATAAGATCAATTAAAATAAATCACTTCATATAAATCATTGTTTATGATATATGGCGAAATTTTTAGAGTTTTCTTGATTAATTATATATCCCAGGTACAAAATACAAAATAACAGGAAAATCACATCAATTTTCATTCTACAAGAAAAAAATCTGGTGTTTATATATGATATAAAATTAAGATATAAATAAATAAAAAAGATTTCTTAATTTCTGTAAATTAAAGTTAAAGGCATATTGAGAATAAAGATAAATATCACGATTTAATACAGCTTATTTTACCACTTGTTGCATTAATATTATGATAAATGAACTTTAAACAATAATAAACATTAATTAGCGTTCAATGAAAACATTTACAGTGCGGTATTTTGAGCGCAATACGTAAAATATATTCACAATAATTTTATATTAATTATCGACACAATATTCTTGGATTTTTCAGTTTAATTTAAATCATCATCAGCAATAGCATGTTTTCATAAGCAATATTCAATCTGCACAGGAGAAGGTCTCTGCGTTCCAGAGGATGAGTATCCCTTTTTAATTGAGAAATGCCGTTATTTTTCTTCGTTATTAAACCAAGTGAATAAATGATACAATAACGAAATGATATTACTTGTATTGATTTTACAGTTTCTCACTTTTTCTCACAACACAGAGACCATCACCAACATATGCGGATTGAAATATTGCTTATGAAAATTATATGGTATTGGTAATGATGATTTAAAGTAAAAACCGTAACGTCCAAGAATATTGTATTATCGAGTAAAATTTAAAATTATTGTGAATATATTTTATATATTGCGTTCCAAATACCGCGCTGTAAATGCTTTCATTGCTTACTAATTAATACTTATTATTGTGTGATTTTTGAGAACCGTATTAAATATAATTGTTTTTGAATAAAACTTTAATTACATTAAAGGTACATCATGATCACGATATAAAATACATTTTTCCGATGTACTTCTGTATATATAGAGAGGGGATTGCAGCTTTGCTTGAAAACAAAATTTAATAAATTAATTTTTTTCTGCAAGTTAAAAATTATCGATGTTTTACGGTACATTTCCACTTGTTGCTAACGTTTCATTTTTTACCATATTCGAACATTCACCTTCAATATTCTTTACATTGCTAGCATCGGATAACGATTCAGATACCTATACGAAAAAAAAATTAAAGTATTAGAAAATGGAATCGAGGATAATTTATCGAGGATAATTTATCATACAAAATTATCACATATTTATATCAGACGAGGTAAATTAGGCAAAGTAAATAAAGAAGATACTTATCGTCCAAGTATATCACGAAGAAGAAAATTCGCAAGCAATCAATTTACTGATAAAAATTCCATGGAAGGAACATTCAATTTACTGATAAAGATCCTATGAAGTTCATCAGCAAGAAAATTATTGTACATTTTGCAAGTACATAAGTCGTTGTTATGTCTCCAACTCTTATTCGTTGAATTTAATTGTTTTTGGCAGAATTGGCAGGAATAGTTATTTGCAGATATTGTAAACAGAATATAACATTTGGCGAATCAGATCATCGTGGCCTCGATTTTAAAATCATAATTAGATGCCGATGTGGTCAAACATCAATCAATTGCGATCCTTTCATTTAAAAATGCTTACGAAATCTATCTTAGAATAGTTAGTATTTGTTATGAGATTATTAAGCATTGTTAGAGAAGTCATAAACATTTTTTGTGAACCTATGAACAACGATCAAGACTTAAGCTCGTCTGCGTATGAAAATGTGAAGAAGTTCATGCCGCGACAAATGCAGTATTTGATACTTTGTGTAGAAAAGCGATTGATGTAGAAAAAGAAAATACTAAGCACGGAAAATCTTTATTAAATTTGAAAGTGTCTGACGACGGATTCTGGAAAACACACGGCTTCTTTTCATTATTTGGTGCGACGCTAGTAAGAAATTACATTGGCAGGATAATAGATCATTGTAAAGAGCAGTTATTGCCAATCATGGACGTATTAGAAAAGTAAACTGAAGATAATCTTCTATGATACAAACAACACGGACAAGAATGTGTTGAAACTCTTACCGGCTTTGCAGGAAAAATATTGTGCACGATATCCTCTCGAGTCTGAGACGTAGCCACCGAATAGGAGCATGTCTTTTGTATAATCTTTTTTAGTCATTGATTTCATATCTGAAGTATAACATATGCAATTTCAAATAGCAGATCCAATATGAATAATAAGCAAATGTACACGAAATGTTGATTTTAGCGACA